AAAAGTATTCTGATGGGGAAATGCAGAGATTTGTAGGTGAAATTGGTCATCACCAGAGTGAAAGGCTGTACGAAAATGTGCAAGTAGTCCAAACTTCATGTACTTGGCGACGTGATTCAACGCAGTATTTAATGAAAACTTTCCAAAGTTTTGTGAATGGAATAAAGGTTAGTTACAGAAACGCTGCTTCCGAAATATATTCAGAATTTATTTACTTAATATGCTGAAGGCTGTGAAGTCCATGTTTCTCTGTATTTTGCTAAATGAAAACTATTGCTTGAAAGCTAAGCTTATGGAAACCAAATTCAATCATTTATTGTGTTATGCGTGCATGCATTGAGTTTAAGCAAGTACCCTAAGCAAGTAGATGGATGTAGTATGAGGAACCCATTGTCTCCCACCCTAGCCAACATCTTAATGTGTAAACTAGAGGAAGACGTCGTAACACCACACAATTTGCCATTCTATGACTGGTACGTAGATTATTGTTTTACCAAAAGGAAGACAATTGCTCCCAACAATCTACTTGAGAAGTTAAACATGCAGCTACCATCCAAACATCAAGTTCATCATGGAAGAAAACCCTGGTCACTTCCTGGACACCTCTTTCAACCATCAAGAGGAAAACTTCACCACCAGAGTCTACCAAAACCAGGTAAACTACAAGCACATTGGAAATCGGTCATCCCAGAAAGGTGGAAGCGCAACACTATTCAAGGTGCCGTATATCGAGCAAAACGAATAGCCATCAAAGCAGGATACCCCACGAAATTGGTAAATGAAGTTATCCGTGATTATGAAAACCCAAAAAGTGACGAAACAATAATTCCTGTCCACTGGTTCGATGAAAGACCTAAACTAGGAATCCGTCTCCCTTTCTGCAGAACAAATGAAGTAGAAAGTAGGAAACTTAACACGTACACCAAATGCATTCAGGTTCAACTTCTTTATCATGTGGAAAACACACAAGATGGAATCAATCTTCAAGTTAAAAGACAAAAACACACACCCATCACACATCATTTACAAAGGTAAGTGTACTTGTGGACAATCATACATTGGCGAAACAGCACGCAACCTCGAGGTTCATGTTAATGAACATTCAGATGTTAATAAGCAGTCGGAGCCAGCAAAGCACATCAGAAAACACCCTTACCACAAGTTCTCGTGGGAAGTTTTAACCACTGCCCATTCATGGTTAAAAAGGGGAATCAAAGCAGCATTCTACATTGCACGCTTCCCTCCAGAACTAAACAAACAAGTGCAATCACTGGACCTCACCTTTTTCCCCACGGGAACAGGTATTACATAAGTGGCATTACCTGAACTATGAGAACACTGAGCGTATGCATATTATTTCACTCTGATGACGATCAAACAGATCAAAAACGTTTAGATTCATAATTTCAACAGCTCTTTACCTTAAAGTTTTATGTATCTTTTTTAATAGAACATAGGTTTGGCAACTCTATTGACCAATCAGAGTGTGCGTAGTATCTCAGTTATTTCATAAAATATTATAGTATCCAGAAGAGTACATTTTACTGCTTCTCCCGGCCCTTCTGACCCAATCCATATGTTTCTGTTTAAACAACATGACTACACACAAGCAACCAAATTTATCTAGGACCATGAATGTAAGATGAAAATTAATCCATTCACTACAAACCATAAGCATCCATCCTGACATATTGTGTTGAGTCTGGTGCATGTCTGTGACATTCTACAAAGCTCTTTTTCTTGAAGGTAAGAACATATGAGAAGTAAAACTTCGTCTGGGACAGCTCTGATGTAACAGTTGAAATTACCTGTGAATTGAAATTGATATAGTATGCGGATCTGAAAAATATTGTTATGTAGCTACAGTAGCATGGGTGAATGATAATTAATTTCAAATTAAATCCACATGTTGAAGATTTATTTATAGATTGCTCTTAACATGTTAAATGTGACAATTGTTGCAAAAAGGAACAATTAGTTTTACGCTTATTCTGTCAGTGTCAAGACACTATTATTTTACCGTTTAACAGTAGTGCAATCCTCTAAATTAAATGCAAGTCCAGTCCAGCAAAACCATTTACAAAAATTATTATTAGGTAAGTGCATAAATTAACCCTTAGCACGCCAATGCATTGATTCACCGCGGAAAAAGTAAAACTTTGACCCTACACTATAAATAAATAATTCTAATTCTAAGGAAAGAATATGAAGGAAGGACAGCCACGTTAATATTTCCAACCGTGTAATATAGGAGCCTTCCACCGCAATTGAATACAATTCTTTCGTGACAATAATTATTGAGTCAGGAGGCACGTGGAGACTGGCTCAACAAAAAGACTCTTAACAAAGACATCGGTAACAAAAAGAAACGGCTTATTTCAGAAACTCATCGATAAAATATTTTTTACACGTAGCAATACGATACGTACCTCCTTGACTGTGCGAGCTTGTAAGGTTATAAGATCGTTTACGACCAAGGTTCCTAGTTGTACTGAGTTTCTTGTCTTGCTTTCTTGTCAAACGCGACAGTGCGGACTGAAATAGATCGAACGAAGAGTGCATTTTAAAAATATTCTTCAATTCGTCAGCTTTGATCCCATGATATGAAATAACAGAGAATCTGGAATACTCTGACGCCATCCGGTCCTTGTAGACAAAGGTGCAAAAGATGCTAAACTGAAAACAAGAAAAAAAATATTGAAATCGATCGACTCACATCTAAACACATGTCAAATTTTCTCTCGACCTCCTTGATTTCTAATCCACAATCTTTTTCCTTCATCGATGAGTCTCCAGTGTTGCACTTTCTCCACGGCTTGTCTCTCTCTGCAAAACAAAACAAAAGAACAGGGGTTGAAGCCTTGTTAAAATCTGCCGTTACAAACGCTTGCTATAAAGTAAACATTGCCGTTGCTGAACGCCGGCCGATCTCGCGGAAGAAATACGCTCTCACTCAAGTTGCATCTTCGTGTATTTGAGGAACTCGTTTTCGCTTTCCGGTAATATTCTGTGCAAAGCCTTGGCCTTCTCGAGGTAGACATCACTTGAGGTTTTTCTTGAAGACACCCGAACACAGCTGTTTGCTTTGTCTTGAAAACGGGATTGTTTTCATGTGGAGGAAATGACGAACCTTCTTTCATCTCTCTTAACCAATCATATCTCTGGAAAAACAAAGCAACGAATTTTGTCCAATCAGCTTGCGTGTTCCAGAGTCAATGGAACGAAATTCAAATGCACAGACAGACTGATTAGTAGATGAGAAGCTGTGAAAAATAACAAATTAGAGCATTCTCGATTCTTAATTTTTTTTTTTACAAAATTTACTTTTACACACCACCACCAAGCCAGCGGTCTCTTTGCTTTTCATTATCAG